CGCGCCTTTTACCACGCCATCAAACCGGAAGCAACCTGTAACATAAGTGTTGATTAAAGTGTAGTATTAGTTGAGTTAAACGTTCGTCTGTTGTTCATTCATATGTTGTCCGACCAAGAACATCACAGCCTCGCACTGGAAATACATACTTAAATGTGACATTGTGCTTTGATGCCAGTATGTGTAATGCTGATAATACATTAAAGTTCTTGTTTTGACCAACACAGGAGTCGCTGAAAATGCGAATTGTCTTTATATTGTTTGGTGCTTGCAGACAACGACCTAAAAAATGCGAGATTGCACTTGCAACTGAATTAGCACCTCTACCTTGCTGGTGTTCTCCCCACGTATAAAAATAGACGTCATCCCTCTTCTGTTCACCAGGAAGGTGAATGACGACGCCTAAAAGGTATAGACAAAGCTGACAGGCATAATACGCTTCGCCAATGGGCGATTTTGGCAACGCTTGATTTTGCATCAGGCCAGATAGTGAGAACAGAGTCATCATGTTCTTCCTTAAGCAAACTGTAAAACTTTCTTGCTCGCATCTTATGAACAAGTAGCTCTGTGACAAGATCTTTCTTTTGTTCTTCATCGTTGGTTACTTTTATTGATGCCTTCAATTTGGTGGGATTCCCAAATCCTAGGTTAAAACAACCCACAAAGATATTGTAATAGTATGTGTATTTTACATCAATTTGCCCTTCATAGTTCTGTAAAAATAGTTTATACATTTTCATAACACTTAGATGGCTCGGTAGGTACTTTTTATGAGGTGTCTTGCCTCTGCCATAATGGGAGGAAACACAGCGGAACTTGCTGATGTGTTCTTTAATCTCTTCTTTGAGATCAGCGTATCCAGGTTTTACTCGCGCTCCACCTCTTTTTTCAGAGCGTGGATTATTTGTGGTCCACTTGTGTGCTGCAATCCTCTTCATTCTATCGGGGCTGACACAGAGAATCGCCAAAAATGTCTTATTACATACTTCATGATAATATCCGTCTTCACTGGTAATCTATTCAAAGGATATAAAGTAAGAAAATATAATTAATGTTAAAAAAAAAAAAAAAAAAAAACCAACAAGAACAAAATAGACTTTTCATACATTGTTATATTTTTGTTTCAACATTGTAAGTTTGAATGAGTATACATTGTTCAATCATACGTACCTGATAATGAATAGAGTATTAAATGTTCCTCTTTCGCTGGTTTTCGGCAACCCTTGTGCGCTTTACAGGTCTCAGAATAATTAGAGATGAAAGAAATTGGTCATGACGTTGCTTATCAGAATCAACATAAAAATCATCAAAAACAGCCCTGATGTCTGCTGGTTCAAAATCCTGCTTTCTGCAATAGCTACGAGGACCGTCATGGTTGCAGTTTGTATTTGGATTTTTACCTAAAAATTATAAATAAATTTTTAAAAAGTAAAAAATAAGAGTAGAGTAAGAATTAATTCAACAGTAATTACTGCATTTTCAATACTTCTTATTAAACTAAATATTTGAGGCAGAGCATTGATTGCCTATACAGGCAAAACCAATTCCCTTAGGCCTTAAAATTACAGGGCCTTTGTAGAGAAATCAGCATTGTATATTTAGACCTAGCTAGGCCTAGCTGTCTTCAATAAACACCCACTTAAAGGGGGTATACTAGGCTTAATAACATAAATTACTAGGTTACCTTCACCAGAATATCGCTTTAGTTTAGTCTTGTTTCTCTTCCATTCTGATGCATTCTTCTTTCTTTTTTTTGTGTGCTCCAGGTTTACAACAACATGTTCATCCTCACTACTCATATTAATTATTTGAGTTACTTGATTAAGGATTAAAAGCAATTACAAAATGAACAGAACAGCGCACAAAATACTAAAAAAGATTAAAGGTCTAACAGCATGTGCACTGTGCAGTCAATCAGCTGTTCAGTCATGTGGTACAAAATCTTGTATTTCATTGGTTAATATTTTTTAGAGGGCGCTATTTATGGACGTAAGGTATTTTGAAACAAATGCTTTATTGATGTAAGGAGTTTTGTATCAAAAGTAGTTTTTGTTAGTGTAATTTGAGCTGGATGGAAGGTGTTTTATAACTAACCAATAGTCTAGCATGGTGTGTATTGTCAAGTAGATATAATTACCACTGTTAACTCAAATTTGAAGAAAAGAAAGTGGATGTAAGGGGTTTTGCAATCAAGCTCTTCATATCCAGACGCAAAAGGTGCCCTTCCTTTTCCACTAATGGAGGAAAACTTTTTCACTAAGTGCGTCCGGCCATATGATTCTACGCTGTATTGTTGTTTTATTCTTTACTGATTCATGATTATGCTTTAATTGTTTTGTGTATTATTTGGATAATAGCAACGATTTCTACCGCCACCAAGGAGGTTATGTATTCACCGATGTTACTGTCTGGGTGTCTTTCCAGTTTGTTTAATATCTAGTATCTTTGTTGAGAATTGATAATAAAATACGCGACGAC